GTGTGTGTGTGTGTGTGTGTGTGTGTGTGTGTGTGTGTGTGTCAAACTGAGGGCATATTGGAATGATAAGCCGCAGTGTTGGGGTCCACTTACGATGAAACCAGGATAGACAGACACCCTACAGCTAGCAAAGGATCAGATGTTGAGCCCTGGTGTTGTCCTAGGCCCGTTCCCCACAAGCAAACCCGGGGGTCCCTGTCAGAGGTCCAGCACCTGTTGTCTGGCCTCAGGGTCTGCTTGCCTGCATGCAGACACCCTGACGAATTCTATTCGCTCCTTGGCTTCTCCATTTTCAGGTCTGTTCCTCAGACAGCAAGACTTCTGAGCACCGTCACCCTGATACTGCCGCCTTCTGCCAGACTAGGGTTTAGTGTGTGTTAGTCACAGTGCAGGCTGGTGATACGTCCTGGGAAGATTCTGAACTCTGTCTCTCCCAGGTCTTAATCACTTCGGAGGATGGAGCCACCACAACTGGAGGAGATTTCTCCCAGAAGACGGGCGATGATCTGCTCTCACTCTGTAAAGATCATAAACAAGGCCAGTCCAGAGAGCCAACTGTTCTGGGATATCGAGGGGCTCCAGTTGTACAGGCCTTGCCTGCAGAGGTGCTATGTCCTGCCAGGTGAGCTCAGACATAGCAGTTCTTAGAGATAATCGTGAGGTCAGGACCCAGAAGCCAAGCCAAGATCCCAGTAGAATCTGGGAATGGATGGGGACCCTGCACTCTCCATCTGTTAAAGAGTCAGAAAGGGTCTGTTATGGAAAGTCTCCTTCTGGTCAAGAAAATGGAGTCTCTGGGCTGGATGGAGACCTAACATTTCTGTTGGGCCTGATCAATCGCCTGGCCAAGGGGCAGCACCTCAGAAGGCAGGCTCACCTTAAGCCGTGCTGAAGAGTTAGGTAGAATAACGTTTCCTGTAGTGGCTGACTGTCCTTTTCCTTCCCCGGATTCCTGGCCTTCCTGTACAGTCCTTAGGAGGCACCCTGAGGTCTGGCTGAGTCTGCCAGCCTTTCTCCGGCCTGAGACAGGAAGGTACAACTTTTCCGTTTTCTTTTTTTCTGTCTCTGTCTCTCCGACGCTGGCCGGAAGCCAAGCATGCTTTTGCCGGTCCCTTGGGCTTCCTTCCACTTTCTCTGCCCCTCCCCCTCCACCATGTACCTGACCTCCATGCCTGCTTCAAGGACACGGCTCCCACCCCACTCATGGCCCTTTCTCTCCTCCATCGTCCTCCTCCAGCCAGCTGCTGAGATTTACAGTCCTGAGATATTTTACTTTAAAGCAGAATAGAATTGTCTTTGAACTTCCATTTGAGTACATCCTTGAAGTCTTTTGTTAATAAGATGAAGGTCCATCAGAAGGACCCTGATTTCCCCTGTGCTCTTTTGTTAATAAGATGAAGGTCCATCAGAAGGGCCCCTGATTTCCCCTGTATTACATCTCAAGCGGGACTCCTCAGCAGACCAGGGTACAGCTTCAGCATCTGGTGACCCCAGCTTCAACTAAATGGGATGGAGTCCGTGGGATAAGACCATGATCAGATAGATGGTGGATTGGGGGGGTCTCTGTAGATGCCTTTGGAGGAGGGGAATGAGGAGGAAATTCTGGAAGCCAGGCCACCTCTGACACACCCAGTCTTCGCTTGGAATTAAGTAAAGAAGAGGACTGTACCCAGGAGCCAGCAAGTGCTAGGGCTTCTGGATCCACGTGTGATGTGAACACGGTTTAATACCAACTTGGAGCAGAACTAATAAATACCCTTGCCTCTGAGTTAACTGAGGCACAACTGTTACTGACTGAAAACATGATAGTCGAGTCTAGCCACTTCTTCCTCCAGGGCTTGCTAGGCTCCATCCCCACTTCCTAGGAGGTCAGGACTGACTCTGGGATGGGTCAGTTGTGCCGGTGGCTTCAGCTGGGAGGACCAAGGTGAGTTAAAGCAAAAACAGGACATCCAGGAGAAATGGCCCATCCAGGTCCTCCAAGGCCCTGGACACTCATGGAAGGTTAGGGAGTCATTAGAATAAGCCAGTCTTGTGCCCACAGTGCCCCCTGCTAACCAGCCAGTCACCATAGAAAAGGGACAGTCATTTCAGAACAC